GCAACTCATGCACTTTCAAACCAACATAAAGATGTTTTGCTTCTAGAAAAGGCAAGAATAACCATGCATGATTCTTCCAAAAAGACCATTAATAATGGTAACAAACATATAATTAATATTTACTGGATGGCAAAAAAAAAAAATATTCCAATTTCCAAACTTCCAAGTCTTATTTATATCTTAAAACTTATAGAAATAGTGCACTCAATCCAATTTTCTAATATAGATTGTGAAAAAGGTTTTAGCAAACAGAATATTATCAAATGTAATGTAATGGAAAATGACACATTGCAGATATTAATAATGGTTGGTTTAGAATAATGATGCCATCTGTAAATAGTTTGGCCATTCTGTAATATGATAACTTTTCAAGTATGCAGTTGTCAGAAAATCTGTAATATGTAAATGTATCTGTAATTTTGTAATTTTGTGAAATTGGAAATTATAAATCAAATCAAAATTTTTTGCAATTTACATAAATGAAATCATAAACTTTATTTATAAACTTTTTAAATTTAAAAATTATATTATTATACATTGTAATAATCTTCAAAACCCATTAATTCATGAGCTACTTCTATGGGATCATAATCATCACCTCCAGTCTCTTCATCAAAAAATCCACATCTAATTCTTCTATTATATTGTTTTTGTTTAACATCTTCTCCACATTCATTGCATTCATTTGCTAAATGAGAATGTAAGATTCCAGGTTTTGCAAATGCCCATTTTTTATGACAACTTATACACTCACCTTCATATATACCATTTCCTTTTTCTTGACCTTGAATAAATTGCCTCCATACACCTGTAAATTGTCTGCCACGATTAATAGAATTGCTTGGTTCTTTTCTTGGTCTTTTGTTCATTATAAAAAATTTTGTTAAAAGTTTATTTTTTATTTTATATATATATATATAAGATTACAGAATTACAGATACATTTACATATTACAGAGAATTACAGATTTTGGCACTTGGTTGCAAATAGTATGACAACTTGGTTGCTAGATACAACTTCTGTAAATCTGATTTACAGACAGCATCATTAGTTTAGAAGGTACTGATTTATTTGGTTATGATTTTAGTGATGCTCTTTGTAAAATTTTTCAAAGTAAAAACAGAAGAATAAAGTAAAGAAATTTTAGCACCCAAAAAATTTTCCTTTTTTAAAATTTTCTTCCGGAAAATTTTTAGCATTCAGGAGAAACTTCCGTTTTTTTTCAGACCCTATTTTCAGCCCTGCTGACAAGTATCACACAAATCAGTTCTGGGACTCATTATTTGAATTTCTGGTGTCAATTGATGTCATAATTTTCTGAAAGCATCATATTTTAGGGATTTCAAGTTACTATCTTCTTCTAGACCAGCTATAAAATCCCTGTACACAGATTTATAACTCATTCAGCTGGTAAGAGTGTGATTGATTGAGTTATTCTATTGATGCTCCTTCCTGGACTTGGTAATCCATGAACTTCTGCATAGTTTTCTAGAAAATTCTTTACTACTTCAGCAACATTTTTATCAATCACCATTTTAGTTTTCCATTGAGGCATCCTTTT